CCTGTTCCTAAGACTTTGGGCCACAAATAATCAGATAAAGAGGATGGAAAAATCTTGGTTTAAAGTTAATTGGTTTGTGCGAATTCTGTCTTTTTGCCAATTTACTTGCCTTTCATGCAGAAACAAGATATGCCTAATGAGATGCTTCTAGCATGGCAGCAGCAATCATGGTGTACTGACTTCTTGTGCTCTGCCAGTTGGCTGTTTTGCCTTGGTGCAAGGCAGTGGATCCCATTCTGACCTACTGCACAGGGCACTCAGGAAGGCCCTGGGATACTCGCCAGGAACAAACTGGCCAGTGATCTCTTGGCTCTGAGACAGGCAGCAGCTCCACTGTATCCGTGCAGCTGCTGTAATGATTTTCTTTTAAAAGTGTCCTCTATGATCCAGGAAGATATCCAGCGTGGTTCTTTACCTGGGGACCAGTGTGCCTTCTAGGCAGCTCAATGAACACACAAAGCTAGAGCATAAAAATAATGAATTAGCAGAATTTTGCCCTTTTCTATAATGTGTCAATCTACAATTTCTGGCACAGGGAGGACAACTGTTACGTTAAACCTCATTCTGTATTTAAGAATAATTTATTTCCCTTTACAATAAAAGAAACCATGTTTGTCTCAAGTGCTAAGGTTAAAGAGGGGAACATGGTAATTCCTGGGCTTTTGACATGGAAATAAATTTTTCCTTAAAGGTAAAAGCACAGAGCTTGCAGAGATGGAAATAACATCTAGCGTGCATTGTGCTGCACTGAAGTCAGCAGAGACTTTTAGGCTTTAGAAAATGCATAAAGTTATAAGAGATCTTTTATTTATTTATTATTTTAGCTCTGTTGGCAAACTTACAGCTAAGAAGAGTTTTTAAAAGTCAGTAAAATGCATCTGTCTCAGCAAGGCATGAGTGTCAGACTTCATAAATGTAATTGTTCAGAGAGATGTGAGGACTCATTTAAGCACTCAGAATGGGAGTGCATTAATGCATGAAATTTACTGAAAGTAAAACTTATTTAACTCTTGTTTAAGCTACTTCTCTGTGAATATGAGGCAGTAATTTATTATTTATTAAAACACTGCTTGTATCAACAACTTTAAAATTTGAAGTCTGAGGATAGATCCACAGCTGCTGTACGACTGTGGAGTAAGGGGCTAAGGCACCTTACATCACTTAGCATCTAGCCTGATAACTTCCCAATTTAGGGAGGGTAGTGCCATACAAAGCATAGGCCACTTGCCTGCGCCTGGATGAAGGGCATGATGATCTGTAGATGGTTTTCTTTCTGAGGAGTTCTCTGGGGCATATATGAGAAACTTTTGCTGTATTGTGTGGCCTTCTACAATGTCCCCCCAGCGTGCAAAGAGGAGGCAGGACAGTGGTCCAGATTGCACCTCTGAGCTAGGACAAGCCAAGCAAGCCGCAGTATTGCAAGGAGAGCAGTTGCATTGCTAGGGCCTCTCTCAAGCCACCATTCTCTCAAACCATGTCCTGAGAGGAATATGCCTTGTGAAGGGATTTTCATTAACTGAATTATCCCTTCACATATAATCTCTGTAGCTGTGGGATGGCTGATGCCTTCTGACTCTTATGCTCTCTGCCTTCGTCCTTCCCTGCTTCTGCCCCTTCCTAAGAAGGCAAAGTTGCATGAATTCTTTAGCACTGCTTTGTCATGCTGAATAGGGAGTCTTCACAAACAAAATCTTTGTGGATTTGTTAAAAACAAGCAAACAGCCTCTTAGAACTATTAGAACTTGATTATGTTAATATTAAACATAATTATGGCACATTAATTATGTTTTCTACATTTATGAGGAGAGTAGTGCTGTGCTCTCCAGACATCTGTACCATACAGAGGCAGGTGGTAGAGCGCAACATTTCCAAGTGCCAGATCGGCACCGTTTTCCCATTCCATATATGGCTGCTCTTTCTCTCTGACTGCAGATACTCATTCAGCTTAGTCAAATGGAGTCCTTATTTGAGAGATTCTGTGCTGAAAGGCAAACGCATCTATCTTTATAAGCCTGTTTGTTTCCATAATTAGAAACCGAATCAACAGTGTATTGAAGATGACACATTTGCTCATTCCCTTTCTTCTCCCTATGGTGGCATAAAGCAGTGAAGCACAATAATTAATGAAAAGGACTGTTTATTATTCAGGCAACATATCTGAGGTGGAAAAAAACAGAGCATGGGTTAAAAATATATTGCTGAAGACCATCAGTGCCATCACAGAGTGTATGATCAGTTCTAGAGGAAGAGTCCCATCATTCAGTCCAGTTGGGCAGGGTGCTCTAAAACTGTCAAAGGCAATTGAACTCAGATTTCGCATGTAAAATTCAAGAAAATGTGGAATGCGTGAAAAAAACTGACTTAAGTATCCTGCTAGGGCATCTTTCATGTTCTTCCCAAAATAGTGACTTTTTTAGCTTCATTTATATGTCTGTTGTGTCCTGTGCCTGAGTAAAAATGATACAGTTTTCGTTTTAGTAGACTTAACTTTTCTTCTGGGAGAGTCTGCCCCATAGGTTTTGTAGGGCAAAGGGTGCACATAATGCTCTGCTCAGCACTCTGCCTTTGCAAAACGAGGCTAATCTGTTTTAAATAACAAAGGCTAGAAAATACCTAACTGGGAAATGCTGCTTTGTCTCCTGTGAACATGCTACAGAGTAAATCACTGCTTGTGTGCCGGTATTGAATATTAGCTAAAATGCAGTACTTTCCTCAACCTCCTGAGACTGATACTGAAGTCCAGGGAAGGATTCCTCCATGCTGACTGACCATGGATAAGCCTCCAAGGTTCCCCTGAGATTCTCAGACCTTTCACTTCACTTGCAAAAAGCTGCAGTGTAACCAGAAAACTAGAAGTGCTTACTGCCTAGTAAATGTCACAGCTATAATGTGCATCTGAAGTCGTGTTGGTGGCAATCCAGTATTTGGGTTCTGTTCCAGTTCCACCTATTTCTGTACTACAACTAGATATGAAAAAGATTTTGGTTTTACTCAAGCTTATAAAGTCAGTCCACATTAGCACACCTGCTAAAATGAAGGTGATTGAGAGAACAGTGACTCTATCAAGGGTACGGATTTTCAAGTCCTTTATTAGAGCCTGCTTTCCTTTTATATATTTTATATCCAGTGGTGATGCCACATCGTTGTAGCAAATAAAGCTTCCTGGTATTGCAAAGCTATGAACAGCCACTTATGCCGAGAACAAAGCTTTGATCTTCATTTTTTGATATTCACCCTCCAGAGTGTTACATTTGGGGAATAGAGAACTGTTTTGCACTATTTTTAGGTGGGCACAATTTCAGTAACGTAAATGCCTTCTTTTGAATTTCAAGTGCTGTTGTTAGCTAGTGGTTGGTTTGATAGTTTTGTGTTTGCTACAGATCTCTGGTGTTAGGGGATGAACAATAAGAACATGTGGCTTTGCACAAGCATGACAGAAAACCTGAATATAATTTTTTGACTTTATAAAGAAAAGTATATTGATCAATACGCAGCAAATCTAATACAAAATAGAATAGTGCTCTATGCTATGTGTGTAAGTGCCTTATAATGTTTATTTAAGGTGATACAGTCATAGATAAACAATTTGGATAGATACTGACAATATAATGTGGAAAATTCTAGGAATATATTGAGTCCATTCCTAAAATATAGCTGCAGTTTAAGTACTGTGATGGACATGGTCATCAGATTATTTCCTTTCTATTATTTTTCTTTATAAAAAACTGTAAGTATCAGCTCTTTTCTTTGTTATTCTCTCACTTCTGTGAGAGTTCATTTACCTGAAGGTATATGACATGCACAGTTCTGCAATGCCAGTGTAACCAGCTGCAAGAGCATCATGTCTGGTGGCTACCTGAGAGTCTTTACAAAGAGGGATGAATTTAAGCAATCTTTGTACTTGACCATATTGTTCTTTCCTCCATATCCTTAGAGAAGTGGGCCCACTAAGGTCATATGCGTTGTAACTCTTTAGATTCAAGGACCCCTTGTGAAACAGCTCTGTTCCTCTTTGTCAGCCTAAGAGAGGACACACCCACTTCCTTTCAAAACGTGAACCTTTGATGTGGCTAATAAAGTGTGCTTGCTTTTAATTTTCTGTAGCATTAAGCATCCTAGTTGTACATGTTTGTCCAGATCTGACTGAGGTGACCAGTTCCCAGAGTGGTTGGTTTATTATGTTGAGAAGCTATTATTCTGCATCACATCAAAAGAATTTCTGAATTTGTGGAGAGATTTCTAAGAAAGGGAACTTAATAACAGCAAGGGAATTCTGAGTGGTACCATAACACGAATAGAACATAGCAATGCTAATAAGGATTAATAGTGAACAGTGTGTTTTCATTTAATAATAATAGTGAACAGCATAATTCAGCTCTACATATTGGATTTTCTCATTCAGTGGTCTTTAAACCAGAGATATGATAGCTGTTGATGTAAAACTTACCATATTTTAGTCAGGAATGATTCTTCTCCAGTACTTTTACTGGTCTTTGTTCTGCTGAGAAAAGAGCAGAAGTCATTAAACTTTTTAGCAGAGATAGAATGGAGTTGTTGAAGTTTAAAAAGAAAAATAGAAAAAGGATAAATAATTTTTTTTTCTTATATTTTTCCTTAAAATATTGGTAAATAAAGTTCATGAACCATGCTTGGACATATTTTTCTGGAAATAGATACTACAGTAACAATATGCATTTATGTAGCTATGGTACTTCATGATTGAGTGCTTTATTTTGTGGCATGTTAATGTTAAACAGTGGCAGGATTCTCATGTCAATCATGCTGGCTAAATAGTTACGCTTGGAATTTTTTATTATTATCTAATTTATGGTCCTTCTACTTTTTGTTTGCCTCCTTTTAGACTTGACTATTTGAGAATTCTGAGTAGTTAAATCAGAAGGGAGTATTTCTATGTGTAAAGACTCCTGTTTTGCTGAAAGAACAGGCTTTTATGTTGTTGAGATATTTCTTGTTAACATCTAATTCTTTCCTTTCCACAGAAGAACTCAAGGAGAAACTGAAGAAATATGTTGATGAAGTGAATGCCCATAAGCCTGGTTTCATCAAGGTTGTTCGACACAGCAAACAAGAGGGGCTGATTCGATCTCGAGTTAGTGGATGGAGAGTAGCCACAGCACCAGTAGTTGCACTCTTTGATGCCCATGTGGAATTCAATGTGGGATGGTATGTGTCTCCCTGAATTTCTCTGAGCAAGACACCTTTTCCAAGCAGTGTTTATAAATTACTGAATGGTGTTTCCCTTGCACATAGAGGGTGAGTTAGCATTCTGATCGTTTTAATGAAGATTCTGACACAATCATGGACACAAGCATGAAAAAATGTATTTGTAATGTGTTTATTTTCTATTAATAAAAAATATTATGTTTCTTTTATGTTCTACAGTGTAAACAAAGAAGTGTGATTTTGGCGCTCTGAGGTTGTTGCTCTGTGCAAAAGTAGCACATAACCAAAACCATGTATTTTAACTTGTTCAGTCTGGATTTAATATCTCTGTTGCTTCTTCAGTAAAAAAGATGGTAAAAAGGCAGGATCTTCTGTCCCTAGGATAGATCTATTATTAACTCTGATCTTGATGTCCTTGATCATACTGAGAGCCTGAAGTTATCGTTACTTGGTAGCAAGGGTGTGAATGCACTATCATATTCACCAGCTAACATCAAGGTTAATAATAGGGCATCCTAGATAAAATATTGCAGTGTGTTATTTAGGGGCATATCCTCCTCTGTCAAAACTCCATCTCAAAGCAAAGGGAGCTCTGAGTGGGTAACAGCTGTAGACTTTGCCCCTTCTGAAATATACAGTATAGGCTGCTATTAATTTGGAGAGTTGGACTAGATAACCTTTAAAGGACTTTTCAAACCCAAACTGTTCTATGATTCTATGATTTCCATCTGTGCTATGCTTCTACTGACATACTCTGCACATTATTTTTTTAGGGCTGAACCAGTGCTTACTAGGATAAAAGAAAACAGAAAGAGAGTCATTTCTCCATCATTTGATAATATTAAGTATGATAATTTTGAAATAGAGGAGTATCCCCTCTCAGCACAGGGGTTTGACTGGGAGCTGTGGTGCCGATATCTGAACCCTCCTAAGTCATGGTGGAAACTGGAAAACACAACTGCTCCAATAAGGTAACATGCAACTGTGACCTAGAATAATTTGTCACTGGCAATGCTCATCTAGGTATGACAGATGGTGAGTGGTCTTAGCTATGTAATAGGTTTTACTGTGTGTTTTGACTGCAGTGTTAAATGTCCTTGAGCTTTCCTCTTCAGCTTTTGTCCTTGACTCTTACACAGTCATCAAGAAATCTGGTTTTTTCTGTAGATATTTGTAAATAGGTTTCCTTGTTATTAGCAGGTGGCAAAACACATAGCCAAAGTGAAATGGTAGATTTGAATGCTCAGCAGTACTGCTTTCTCTAAATGCTGTCTGCTAATTTAGTGGTAATGGGCCAGAAACAGAATTTTCTTTACAAAGGCATTATATACACAGAACTGATCTGACAGTTGTATTCTTTATAGTACTGTCACATCACTTTACAGCTGTGTTACGTCCTATCAGTTAATGCTGGTCCACTGATGGTGTGTGAGCAAAGACTGTATTAGATCCTTGCTTTGGTGTAATCTAGCTCTGTACTTTCTTACCGTGTCTAGAGTATTATTAGGCTGGTACAGAACAATACCCTTATCTCGAGGAGGAGAGTAGGTGCCTCTGAATCCCCTCAGCAGTTCTGCTGAGATCCCAGGCCTTTCCTCTAGCTGTGTGTTCATACCAAGGAAGTCACTGGTACCTATACTCTAGCTCTCTTGCAGAAAGAACCTGTGAAGACTGTTTTCACCAGCTGCAAAGCAGAACCTTGAATAGCAGTGGCAGCACGAGGGCTTCGTCACTACCAACCAGTTTCCATGCAGTCAGTGTGAGGGGTATCTTCCATCCAGTAGTTCTGTCCCTTCAGGCAGGCAGCTGACAGGGAGTTGTCAACTTTAACACTCTGAACTGCACTGTCCCATGTGCTGGTCATTAGAACAGGACCTAGAATTGGAAAGTATAAGATAAAAATTCCCAGGTTTGCCACAGACACACGTAAAAAGGGGTTGTAATTTCCACATCATTAGAAATGGTTATCAGTGTTAATGAACTTTGTTAACATTATGAAAGTGCTTTGAAATATTCTACTAAGTCCTGGAGAGGCAAACTTATATTAATTATAGTGACTTTTTAAATTAAAAGCATTTGAACTCAGAATAAAGAGCAAATCTACTTTTCCATTTTACCCCAAAACTCTGTTTTGTGTGAGGATTGTGAACGTCCTATAAGAATATTGGATATTTAGGCTTGTTCCCTAGCCCTTTCCATGACGCCTTTCATTCAGTGAAATACACTGCATGTGTGTGCTGGATAATTAAACCAAAAAAAAAGCCACATCGATCGATTGATGGCTTCTATCATGCCTCCAATATGCTTCTAGAATTATAACAAAGGGAAGCAGGTACACTGATAAATACTTTAAAAACAACACCAAAAGCAAGGATACTTTGTTATAAAAACAGCATAATTTTTGAAGTGATGTTAACTACTATTTTCTTCCTTAATAAATACATCAGAAACAGTCTTTCATTGTTAGAAAGTGAGTTCTATAGCACGTCAAGTTAAAGGCAGAAATGTATAGATTTCTGCAGAATTGTACAATTTGTGATTAAGACATTCTGTACTCTGTTTGAAAGCAGATGTCTACACTTACTGCAGCTTGAATGTTCCCAGTAAATGCAGGATGACTTCCCTGTACTGCTAATTAATATCTTGTTGTTACCAGAGTTCTTGATACCAGCATAATAGTCAGAAAAGACGTTTTTATTTCTTGCCATTGTGAATTATAAGGTGGGAGAAAAATGAAAATGCTAAATTATTCTGTATTCTTCTTCACTGCATCTCATAAAGGTAAAATTGTACTCCCTGTGCCTGAACTCTTGCCTTCTTAAGATTGGCTCTGCATAGTAAAAGTTGGTTAATTCAGATCATCACATAAATAGAGCTTACTGATTCGGTAAGGATATGTGAGTTGTTTAAATTTGACTCAGGACAATGGACTAATATTACAGTATGCTGGTAAGGGCAGGTGTTTCTTGATTCTATATTACAAAAACTTATCTGTATGTTCCTATTCAATAAATAATCTCTTATTTTACATAAACTTACATACACAAATTTTCTTACCTGTATGTGAAGCTAGCTTCTGGCTAAACACACAAAACTGTGCATCATTGGGTATCCTTGTCAATTATCACAGACAAGAAACCTGAGGATTTAGCAGGTACAGAGACTAGAATGGCTGGTGCCTCAGAAACAAAGTTGGAGCTCCTGGATCTAGTATTGTTAGCACTGAAATCCTACCCGTTCAGTGAATATGTCAAATAATTTTGAGTCTGTTTTCCTTCAGTGGTGCTTGTTTCACCATAGAATCAGGAACAATAGAAGACAAAACTGTATAAATCTATTCAAGAAACACCTCCCTAGGAATCTGTCTTGATGCACCATTTGAACCAGCAATTATTAATCTAATCTATTTCTGAATAATAGCATTGTTCATATTCTGTCTGCCAATTTTGTTTGCTGCTGGTTTATTCTTCCAGAAGTCCTGCACTGATTGGATGCTTCATAGTAGATAGGGAATATTTCCAAGAGATTGGCTTACTGGATGAAGGCATGGAAGTATACGGAGGAGAGAATGTGGAGCTCGGAATCAGGGTAAGGAACAGAACCAGCCAACACTGGTAGCTTGCATTTAAAATACAGCTTGCTTCTTATTGCGAGGGAAAGAGACAGTCAAAAATATATGGATGATGGCATGCAAAGGAGATCCACAGCTCTGCTGTAGCATAAATTGTTCATTTGAGGAGGTGGAGGGTGGCGGGGAAAGAGCACAAGCTCCTATATCTTTTTAAAGAACTTATCTGGGACAAGAATAGAAATACAGAATTTGGTATTATTTTTTCATTGAAGTAACAGGGCCAGAAATCTGCAGAGATGATACCTAAAATTCCCTGCTTACTTGTGATCCCAGACTGGGTAAGGAAAAATGTTTCTCACAGGCGTAATGGGAAAAGCCTTTCTAGATTACTTGGTTTATTTAAATTGGAAAAATCACTATGGAGCAAACTAGAATAGATAAGCATTTATGCTGCCTACTCTCTGGAGGGGAGTTAAGATATTCATAGGGTGCATAAGTGCACATATTTTCTTCTTCCATCATACGCTCTTCATCTGTTTACTTTATGCAGTATTGTGTGTTGTGTACTTTGTTCTATATCTCTTCACAGCTAAATACCATCCTGAAAATACAGTGCTGTTCTGTTAGAGAATCTTTCAGGTTTTTGATAGGAGAGAAAATGTTAGGTGTTGATAAATAATGGAGTGGTGAGTGTTACAAAATTAAATTGTGAACTCTGCTATGAAATGTTAGTGGAAGCTTGTATTTTGTGCTTAGTTGCCAGAATGAGAGCATACAGTTATACAATAGCAAAAAAAAATATTTTATTTTAAAAATACAGAATTCTCTGCTGAGACTTTTTCTCCCACCTATCATGATGAAGTGTTACTGATGCAGGACTGAAGCATAGGTCCCCTCTCAGTTACATTAGAGCACAATTCTAAGGAAAGAGAGAGAGAAATGCAGGACTGCTTCTTTTAATAACACTATTCTGCTCACTGTGAGGGCCAGAGACCTGCCTTCTGTTCCCAAAACCTGATTTTGCAGCTCAGTGTTGCAATGAGTTGAAAATCAGCATCGCTTTGATTTTTTTTTTTTTTTTTCCAACTGACAAAACTCCTTGTTAAGTGTGAGGAGTTTTATCTAGTTTTGTATCATGAGAGATCTGTTCAGTCTGCTATACTCTGCCTTGCAGAAGTTGATTGAAAAGAGTACTTTGATAGACAAGACCAGAGAGACACAAATCTCTGCATAATTGAAACTTTGGAGTAGGCTGGATCACTGGAATAAGGCCCAACACTGCTCTGATTTCCTTATGGCTTTTTGTCTGTCTCCAGGGAAGCAGTGCCTGACCTACATAAAATACTTTCATCTGTAACAGATTGTAGTGTGCAAGGTAGCATAATGTATGCTACCTCATCTAACTTTATCCTGACTTGGATCTGTGTTCCTGGCTATATCAAAACAAATTACTGAGCTGTAATGAACAGATTTTTCAGCAGTTTATTACCAATTCTTCTCACAATTCTCAGCATATCCCATATAATACCAGGATGAATATAAATGTACAGTGCAATATTAGAGCTTCTGGGAAGCACAGTATTATTTCTACAGATGTTAAGCTTGAAAAGCAAGCTCCTTCCCTCAGCCACCTGCTTCTGGCACACACCTGGGGCCATGCACTGTGTCTTGGCAAAATACGGGTGGCTGCTTCAAATGTGCTGTCATACTATGGTGGGCAGCTGTAACATTCAGGTGCATCCTAAGCATTTGTCCCTAGAGGTGCAGCTCCCAGAAGCTGCCTTTCATTTCCTTTAGATAGGGATACATGGAAAACTATAGTCAGCAGGTGATTTCAGGCCAGATGGTCTGTCTCTGCTGCTCAACTACATTGTTGTCTCTGCGGCACTGAACAGTCATCTCTAGATTACTTCTGTTGCTTTCAACTGTGAGGCCTACGATGAATCACGTAATAAAGACAGTAATTGTTCTACAAAACCTCCATTATAATTACAGTATTAGTGCAATAAATAATGTTTCCATTTTAAAATGGTGCTCTCCAGTCCATGACTACAGATTGTTCATTGTGCTTCATTTTGCATTTCCATTTTCGTTTTCTAAGTAGTAATCTAGCTTCATCTAGTATTCTGCTGTGTGATGTGCATTATCATGTAGGGCTGGAGAAGCAGAAATCACATGCCCAAACTGGCCTGGTATCCAGGCTAGCCAAGAAGTTATGTATCACATTCTGTGATATGATGGAGTTGATATCTATTGAAATTTTCTTATTTTTTTTCTTCATGTCTTGAACTTCTAAGCAAATTCCACACAGCCTGTTCCCATTCTTTGCAGTATTTAGGCGCTGCAAGTCAGTTCTTTCATTGGGAAATTTTATGCATAAGCATGTAAAAGCAAACATTTACAGGAACAGGAGAGGTTACTTTCAGCTACAGAAGTAGCAGCAAGAGTTAGGATCATTTGAGCTACCTGTTTATCTTAAACACACTAAGTAGAGCATGGTCCCATGTCCTTGTATTACTAATTTTGTTCCAGGGGATGTAAAACTACTGTGAGCCAAATGTATATGCAGACCAGCTGCAGCATCATGCGATGACAGTACTGGGTAAATCGCTACCTCTGTGCCTATGTGCAGAGTCAAAGCCTTATTCTCCATTTGCTTTGTTAGCAGCTGCATCTTCAGTGATGTGAGAGAAGATTTAATCTCCCACCTGAGGTGCTTCTGGGAAGCAAAGTCTACCTATTTAAGATTTCTTTTCATTTTAAAGGAGAAACTATTATTGTGTCTTCTAAAACCTTGAAACTATTTGTTTTCAGCTGAACTGATGGGGTTTCTACTGTGCAGGGATAGGAATGAGACCCTGACAAAATGGAGACTTATCTCAGTATTCTCTCCCAGGAGGTATTTTTCTCACCTCATCACCTGCACCAATATCCAGTTATTTATGTTACATGAATGCAAGAAAATCCTCAGCTATTGGAAACAGTATCTGAAGCATCCATTGTTGGTAAACTGTAGCAAGCCACAGAAAACAGGTCATTGATTGGAGGAATATTCTCTTGACTGAATTAGTTTCTCTATTCAGCTCTATTCATCTCTAATTTGGTGTATTATTATAACTTCTAAGATTTTTACCCTTGTCTGTGGATTTGTAATGACATTTGTAAAATATTAAATGTATATTATTAAATAATTATTAATAGTTCTGTTGCCTTGAGCTAGTAGCTGACAGATGAGTTCAAAATATGAATGCATTTTGAATCTTATAAACAACGCTGTATTTTCTCCTCAAGCAAATATTTTTTGCAAAGCAATTTATTTGCCTCATAAGAAAATAAAGGCAGGCTGGTTGATGCAAGACTGGATGGCATCCTTTTTGAGCAGCTCGGTCACTTTATCTGGGATTTTTGAGAGATTCATTTGCTGTGCCCCAGAATCATATCCTTAAATTCACATTAGGATGAGTAATGCTTCTTTTTGGTTTATGTCCAATCATTCCCACTTGAATGGACTTAGTGTGCTTTTAAGGGATCGAATTGTATTTGGAGGGCAAACTGGAATCACACTGATTATCCAAGAGACCAAATAGGAGCTGTGTTGGTAACCACCTTATAGCAGAAACAAAACGTAAGGCTGACGTTTCTCACCATTACTTGGGCTCTGCTTCTGTGTTGTGCTTGCACAAGCAGTACTTGTAGTTACAGAAGCCCCTACAAATCCATTGCAATCAATTAGATCCTGCACTAGATGGTTCAAGTCTATTTTTCAGTAGGCTTCTTAAAGAGCCTATTCCAATTTCTACTGAAGTCAGCAGATTTTCTATCAAGAGCAAGCCTGTAGCAATCATTTTGTCTTTTAAAGCAGCCTACATGTTCGATAAAGCTTCCAAATATCTGGTAAAACAAAGCTGTTTTGTACCACTTTTAGGGATGCCTGAACAAATATTCAGTGATTTGCCTCAGGTCACAGACTGTCATCATCAGAGTCAAGGCAATGTAAGCCCAGGCTTTGACTTCAGGTAATTATGTATGTCACAAAGACTTTGTGCTTGCAGATGAATTTGTGTTCACAGGGATATAATGGCCCTGTTAAATGGGTAAGAGGTAATAGCTCTTTAAGGGAAAAGGAATGGACCTTGCTCCCACCGAGCGATATATCAAAGACTTTACATCAGCTGACCCAGGAGGAAAATTGCTTTTATAGTTCAGACTTGAGTATAGCACACTACCTTTATACAGTATATTGCCATAGTGAAATTAGTTGTATTTGCAGTAAAATAACATTATAATAAATATATCGGCTTCATTTCTTGTTAGTCTGGTAGTTTGTCTATAGTACTTACGTGAACCTGATACTGATGCTTTTGCTGTTGGTGGAGAACTAGAGGACTGCAATTTATGAACAGAGATGCAGATGTGAGTCATTTAACCAGAAAATAGTCCTGGTGTTCTTCGGAGTATTGTCCATATGATAGGGCCCCTCTGTTGCAGAACAAGCAGATGTGAAGTCTGTTATTCCTCTCCCTGATCTATTTTTTCTCAAATTCCAGAGGTGACTTCTATTTTTTTTGTTTGTTTTTGGGGTAGGGTTTTTTGGGGGATTGGCTTTTTTTTTTTTTAAGGTCCTTCTGGCTCTATCTATCTATCTTTTTTTTTTTTTTTTCTTATTTAACCCCCGCTACCCCAGCTTCTGGGATCATGTTTCTTCATTACTGACTAGTTAACCCAGTGTCTCTCATAAGGTGCATAGAAGCCGATTGTTGTCTTACATGTCTGTCCAGTCATTTCCAATACAAAGTGTTTATGTATTCAAATTGTTTCTCACCTGAGATGTCTTTCTTATAATAAGCCCTTTCAAGAATGTTCTTTTTGATAATCCAGAGCAAATGCAGATATTTACATTTGCCCCCAATTCTCCATATTTATCTGAAAACATTTAGAACTTTTTCCTCTTTCCTTAGAAGTTTTCAGTAGTTTTACCTGTTAGTGTTTCTAATACAGGCCATGAATTATATGAAAT